TTAATTAGGGTAAATAGGCAGGTTAGGGTAATTAGGCAAGATACTGTATAATGATGGTTTGTTCTGTAGAAAATCGGAAAAAAAAAGCTTAAAGGGGCCAATAATTTTTTACCTTAAAATGTTTTTAAAAATGTAAAAACTGCTTTTATTCTAGACAAAATGAAACAAATAAGACTTTCTACAGAAGAAAAAAATCTTATCAGACTTACTGTGAAAATGTCCTTGATCTGACTTCAACTATATAAATAAATTTATATATATATATATATATATATATATAAATATATATATATATATATATATATATATATATATATATATATATATATATATATATATATATATATATATATATATATATATATATATATATATACATATATATATGTAATTTTGTTATTAACGATTATTATACAAATTTATATGTAAAAAATTATAAATATATATATATATAAAGATACAAATATACAAATATTATTACACTATTACACAGAAAATTAATATCCAAATAATTCATTCATTCATTTTCTTGTCGGCTTAGTCCCTTTATTAATCCGGGGTCGCCACAGCGGAATGAACCGCCAACTTATCCAGCATGTTTTTACGCAGCGGATGCCCTTCCAGCCGCAACCCATCTCTGGGAAACATCCACACACACATTCACACACACACTCATACACTACGGACAATTTAGCCTACCCAATTCATCTGTACTGCATGTCTTTAGACTGTGGGGGAAACCAGAGCACCTGGAGGAAACCCACGCGAAGGCAGGGAGAACATGCAAACTCCACACAGAAACGCCGACTGAGCTGAGGATCGAATCAGTGACCTTCTTGCTGTGAGGCGACAGCACTACCTACTGCACCACTTTTGTTTATATCCAAATAAACAAAAACAAAATGAACTTACAAAACAAAAACAAATTGAACCTATGAAGCTTCCGTGCTTCTGTAAATTACTCAGTGGTACTAAAATATCTATTTACAGTATGTGATTACATTTTCAGCAGCCATTAGTCTTCACTATCACTTTTTTCCTTTTTTGGTCAAACTCAGAGCAAATGACGTATATGATTTAATCTACTAGACAGTTAGAAATATGTTGTTACATAATTACTGCTTACAATGAGCTAGATATCTCTATTCTAGAGGTGTAACTGGTGCTGAATGACAAGCTACTGCAAGAAAAACAACTCAAGTACTGCTTTATCACAGTGCTGTGTATAAAGTCCCTGAACATTTGCCAACATTACAATTGCACTCTTGTTTATAACAAAAGCTACATCAACAAAATAGGTAAGACAACTTGGTGATGTTTTTAGCTGTTTTTAATTTTTACTCCCCCGGATAACAGGGATTCACGGAAATCTCACTACTCATTGTATGCCACTTCGTCAAACAACCAAACAGTCTTAAAATGTTACTTTTCTTCAGAAGATCCAAACAAATGTCAAGATCAGAGGTTCTCTCATGGTTTAAAGGGCTGGATATCAAAGGGTTTTTGTCGCGGTTGCTCACAACTAAATAAGAGAAGACTCTCAGCCTGTGGCACATGGCCTTTGAGTTCCTGTTTCTAAACAAGACACTGATAGACTGACCTCACTCAAACATGAGGGGCAGCTGGACTCACTTTCCCAAGCCCAATTTTACACTAAAGCACTGTTCAAGTAGGATTTTTAATAGTGTTCCCCAGTCTAGATTTGAAGTTGTGCTTTGCATATCAGAGCATAAACCAATTCAAATAATTACAGTTAAAGTCAAAATGAGTAATTATTAACTCCTGTTATTTTTTTTTCAATATTTCCCAAATTATGCTTAATAAAGCAAGTAATTTTCCATAGTATTCCTGATAATATTTTTTATATTTTTTCTTTTGGTGAAAGTCTTGCGTTATTTCAGCTAGAATAAAAGCAGTTTTTAATTGTTTTAAAACCATTTTAAGTTTAGTAATATTATTATTGCCCCCTTAAGCAATATTTTTCCGACTGTCTGCAAAAGAAACCATTGTTATACAATCACTTGCCTAATGAGTTAACACAATTAGTTAAGCCTTTAAATTGCACTTTTTATCAGAATACTAGTGTCTTAAAAAATATACAGTAATAATATATAATATATAATAATATATAGTACATAGAATAATAAAATACTATGTATTGTCATCATGGTAAAGATAAAAAATCAATTATTACTAATTATTATTAAATATATTGTGTTTAGTAACGTCTTGAACAAAAAATCTATCCATTAAACAGATATTGGAGGGAAAAAATACAGGGGGCTAATATTCAGGAGGGCTAATAATTCTGACTTTAACTGTTAATACATTTTGTTAGCTATACAACATGGGTGTCAGGGTTCTGCCACTCTGGTCTTGTAAATTCTTGTTTTGGTGGTGGCAGAGCTCTGACACTACCCATGTCTGGTCCTGTTTCTGTCTCTGTGTGTGCGCGCGACATCGTGCCGCTTGATGTGGCCGCGCGCGCTCTGCGTCCCTCTGACGCGCGCGCTCTTGTACTAGTGTTTGTGTTTGTTCTGTCAGCATCGCGCTGCTTTATTCTCGGCGCCTCCGTCTAGTTGGTTTCAGTTTTGGTTGGCGCTGAGATGAAGCATGCGCGTTGCTTATGTGTGAGCACACGGTAAGGTGTTTATCTATCGTGTGCTCGTGTCTTGCGTCTCTTGTTAAAGCACGTGGCTCGGTGTTTACATTGTATTCACGTGCTTTTGTCGTGTGCTTCAGTGTTGTGCTCGTCTTGTCATGAACATGCGGTTAATGAGTTCTCTCATTGGCTGCATGTTCTTGTCCTGTTTTATGTGAGCGCATGGCTTGTGTCTTCTCTCTGTGTCATGCGCTCTCCCGTCTATTGTCTAGTCCCACCCTCCTTGTTAACCCATTATTAGTTAATTATGTTCATCTGTTTTTGTGTTAATTTCCTACAGTTTATAAACCCCTTATGTCTGCTGTCCTGTGCGAGTTCGTCATCACATGTTGTCCATCTTTACCTGTCCTGCTGTGTCCAGCCTTGCCTTGTCGTGCCTGCCCAGTCAAGTTTGTTTGTTTATTTGTTTTATTAGTGTTTTCCCCCTCGGGGTTGTTTTATTTTGCATTTTATTTTATTTTTATTATTTAATAAAATTCTATATACTCTGCGCTTGGGTACTCGCTCCTTTTTCCCATCACCGAACGTGACAATGGGTAAATAACAAATGTACTTTTTAAAGGAAGGAAACTATTGTAGATGTCATATTTATTTATTTATTTATTTATTTATTTATTTATTTATTTATTTATTTATTTATTTATGTAGTTTGAAGTCTGATATCTTAGAATGTATAGGGGGTTACTTTTTAAACTTTTTAAGGAACCGTTAAAAACAGACTCTTATTAACATACAAACTCTTAATAATATACAAACAGTGGGATAGAAATTTATCTTTATTGCTGGACACTTCATATAGTGCTATTTAATTGTGAAACATATTTGCTATGTGAGATTATTAATATTATATTTTCTCTATGCCTTGCCAGACTTTTGGACAATTTTAATAAACAGAAATGTCACACCGAGAAACAACAAAGTTGATAATGTTTCCAAAAAGTTCCAAAAATTCCAATAGCATCTGGATGCAGCCTTTGTGATGCTAGCTGAGATTGCACCACTCAGCAATGCAATCTCAGACACAATGCACTCAATGGAGTGAGTGACGTCACTGTGACGAGTAGGGTTAGGGGTAAGGTTAGGTGAGCGCATTAAAAAGCATTGGATGCAGCTCAGATTGCACTCCACCAGGTCTGCAACCAGACTCCTCTCAAATATTCAGACAAACACAACAGGTGCATATCATGAGCTTCACAGGGGGCTTCAGTAACTTGAATGGGGTCCTTCAACTAATTAAAGTTTTCTGTTGAACATGGTATTCAATGAGAAAATGTATCAATTTCCTATGTTTTTAGAAGTGTACAGATGAAAGATGACCATTTACTAAAATAAATACCTAAATTTAGGTTATTTGTTAATTAATTTAACATAAAAGCTGTATTTACTGAACTATGCATGAGACAATCACAGTTTTGTTTTGTTGCCATTTTTTCTGTTCTCCTATTAATTTTTTGGTCTTGAAAGTATGTCCTCTTGTATTCACAAATGCATAAACCATAAAGAATTTTCCAGGTGCTATTGATGGCATCATATTGTAACATTATATAATGCATACTGCTGCATGTTTAATAATTGGTCTGTTTGGGTAACACCATTTGAATGTTAAGCCTACAGGAAAGAAACATTTAGATAAAACGCAAGTCTGATCTGATCAAATAAAAGTATGCAAATATAAAAACAACACAAAGAGCTGCTTGACTGAGTGCCACAGCGACATCATTTAAAAAAAACAACAATACAAACAAACCATACTTAGGTTTAAAAATGCTAAGTCTCTGTGTTCAATAATTGCTCAGGAATCCGCAAGAGAGACTAAACGAGAAGTTAACCGTACATTAACAGGGAGTCAACCATAACCTAATGACTATGTGTTATTAAAAGACGGCAGAACAACCGAGAGCACAATATGCAAATCAGCACGAGCGACTTCAAAGGCGCCACAATGAAAACCAGCCGCAAATAGAACAAAAGCATAAGACCGGCTCCAGGCCAACTGAAGGCACAAACGCTTGTTGTTGATTCTTGTGGCGATAAGCTTACTTTAACATGACGGCGGCCTATGCACATATAGCAGCGAAGTGGATTTAATCGGGCTAATTAAAATCCACTCAAGGCAGAATGCAGCATCCACTGTAATAATCTGGAAGAGAACAACTCTCCACTCCAATTTATTCTGGAGCTGTGGCTGCACGGGGAGGGGGGCCGGCGGGGACGGTCAGTGGTTCTGGCTGGTAGTTTGGATGAGGGCTGTCAGATTTTGCAGTGTGCCATTTAACGGATGGGCAGCGGGCCGCTGTGAGGATGGGCCGGGGCGCGGGAGGAGGTCTGCGTGTGTTACCTGTGGGGGGAATGATTCCTGGCGACATGAGGCCCGGCACCGTGTGCGGCATGATGTGAGGGTTCTCCGGCGATGTCACACTCTGGGTCCGTTTTGGAGGCCTCCCGGGTCTTGAGCTAAAACAGAAGTGAAGTGGTGGAAAGGGGAAAGTGGAGAGAGAGAGACTTGCTGTTAACATTCGCACCAGAACGCAATTCCATTCCAAAGAGCCAACATGCACTGTAAATAAATTCCTTTTCAAGGACAGTTGCTTTCTGCCGCTCGACATAATAGACTTCCATAACTAATTAGATTACACAGTGAATTCATTTCCTTTATTGAAGATCAACCACTTTTTGATGCATAATTCATGGCCCGCACCTCGTTACCTGCCCTTCTGTATTAATATCCCTACACTATTTGAATTGCCTCGTTTGCATATGCTAAAATACGGCCGTGCAGCTTTTCAGGCTGGAAATTACATGTTAACTTGTTATAATTATTGCAGTCAGGCCACTATTGATTTATGAGACTTTTAAAAACCAAATATGTGTAGTTCTGGTAATGAATGATATTGTAAGGTTCTTCAGGAAATTAAAAGGCAACGGCTGCCTTAGGAAACGTTCTGCTTGCTTGATTTAATAGGAGCTGTAGCTGGAAGCTGGTGTGACTGAGTGACTCAGACCTGTTGTGCGTTTATGATGGAAACTTTTATTACTTGAAATGAGTGACCAAGATCACACAATGATTAATGACACAAGAAGCACAAGTCTGACAGAGAGCGAGAGAGAGAGAGAAAAAAAAATGCCCCTCCGAGCTGATTGTCAGATATTTTTCACACATTACTCTGTGCTGTTCATCCATGCATATCTCTCCTCTAATTTTGGCCAAAACGCAGCTTGCGTAATATCAAAACAGCCTTTACGGAAATATTTCCTATCTGAGAGCATCCCTAATAAATTGGTGTAGTTGTTTTGAAGCCGCTGCAGCCACTGGGGACATGTTTGGGAGTTTTTACAACAACAAAAAAAAAATAAAGAAGAAGAAGTGTGATTGCATCCCCACTCACTGTTTTATTTAAAAACTAATTACAAACGTAAAGTTGCTAAACAAATAAACATATATTATATACCTGTTTAACGATAACAAATCTTTCTAGTAACTAAAATAAAAAAAATATCCAAACTTAAATTTATATTTACATTAACATTTATTAGACTGATAAATGCATTTAGATTTACTTTATAAATAAGTAAATAAACAAATATATTCATTAAATGTAGCAATTACAAACAAATAAAATCATAGTTAAAATAGTAGAATGCTACAATTACATAATCAAATTTTACAAACCAGCAAATAAACAAACAAACATACAAATAAAGGAATTGACCATTAAAGGTGCAGTAGGTGATTGTCTTCACATTTTTTTGTTGTGCTGGTTAAAAGTCTCTTCACATTCCAATAGTAATGATTAAAGTAAATGATCTAAATTTATTTCTATGTATTTTTATATTCTGGGTAAGGCGTAAGACTAAAAAGTCTTTATCCAATTAAATATTGTAGAGTCGATAATTCCCATAATTCTGATAAGTAGCCCAAACTGTTTGTCAGCAAATGCAGATTTGAACAACTGCACACCTTTTCACGCAGATCCGCCAATGCACGTCCACGCGGGCCAAGGGTGACAGCACTAAAAACAAATGCTCAATCAAAATTTTAAAATCCTGAATGAATATTCGATCAACTTTTGCACGCTGGAGGAAGGACGACACCATGACTGAAGTAGTTCTTTTAGACGGGTAATGGTATGTTTAAATGGGTTTTATGCACAGAAGTGTTGTTCAATCTCTGAAATCTTCCGGCAAACGATTGATGTGACTATTTTCAGAATCTTTTACAGCATTAAAAATGTAGATATTAATTTAGTTTAATAACAAAATACAAGTAAATATCACTATTCTGCCTAGCCTGCTTTACTGGTGAAGTTGGTTTTATATTCACATTGGTTTATTTTTGAACAATGACATTTGTGACGCACTCCCTATTTTTTAGTTTACCATGCTACTCTTAATGTTCGGTCTGAAATAGCATGTAAGTAAATGTATGGCTCAGAAATAAGTGTAATTCCTGCACCCCACCAGCCAAGTACTAAGCATACAGTAGTCGCTTTAGGACAAAGTGTATGAGAGAGTGAGACTGATGAGAGAGTAATTACATAACTGGAAACGTGCTAGATATAATACAATTTTTCATTCAGAATTGTAGTATAATAAAGTACTATAAAGTTTTTTAATTGGCGAATAAGCTAGTGCAAGGATGTCCAGACTCGGTCCAGGTGTCCTACAAAGTTTAGTTCCAACCGAAATCAGACACACCTGGGCTAGCTAATCAAGCTCTTACTAGGCATTATAGAAACATCCTTGCAGGTGTGTTGAAGCAAGTTGGAGCTAAACTCTGCAGGACGCCGGCCCTCCAAAACCGAGTTTGGACACCCCTGGCCTAGTGGGTCTCTGTCATCTTTAATGTGCGTGCTCGCGATTTTAGGCAATGTGGCTTTGGACAGCAGGGCAGGGATTGTATTTGAAAGATATTACGCTAAACGGTTAGCATTTAGGCAGATCGCCTACTGCATCTTTAATTGATAACTATATTTTCAAGACTTATAAAACACCACAAATAAATTATCTAATTATATGTACATGATTGAATATTTAAATATAATGAATAAATCAGATAAAATGCTACTCATTGTTTCCAGAGAAAAGCTCATTTTCAAGGCATTGTGTATATTTCACAACACTTGCGTTAGAATGGCATATCAGGACATGATTGAAAGAGGCCTTCATTAACTCAAGGTTTTGTTCTCTGCTTTTCCAGTGACTAAACAGGGCCTCATTTTCATGGCCAAAAGGAAAGCAGAAGAGCGCATTTACAACGACCCAAGGCCTTTTTAAAAGCTCACTTATTCATGTACCAAAGTCTGTCATGTGCATCAGTTTAGTCCATTTACAGACTGGGCAGATGAGCTGCGTTTCATTGCATTTTATCATGTTTTATTCTTGACAGGCATGAAATTGAAACGGAAATTCTTTACTTCGCACACTAAAAACAGAAGAGGCCATAAACTCCATGCTCATAGCGTTAGCAATGAGAAAGAGAAGCACTCGATATACAGTCAGGCCCGAGGCCATTCACACTGTAAGGAGCTTGAACCATATCAGTCTGTTCGAATGTGACAGAATCATTTCCACCTCGCATCACGCAACAGAAATAGAGACATCATCTTCTTCATACCTCATATAAATGTCCCGGTAAAGGATTTCACACTGTTATAATAGGGCTATATTTGATATTCTTCTTTGCAGCGCCCCCTCTGTTCATACTTAGAATGTCAAGTTCTTCACTGAGGTTCTATTTGATGCATTTATGCAAATCTTTTTCGGCCTAATATAGACTTGTTCTTTTGTAAACCAATTTTTCACCCCCCGAAAATATCTGTTATCATGCTTTCATCATCTAATCCAAAACCATTTTTTACCATTTTTCATAGAAAACAAAATAATTTGAGCTGTTTTCTTTATCATATCAGTTAAATTCATTTGCATATTCAAATTTGACAAGTTTCAAGTGATCATAAGACACAAAAAGCAGTTAACATGCAACCTTATTATGTGATTATAATGTAATCTAGCAACAGAATAGTACAGATATACACAACTTTTTGATTTAGTGGCTATTTTGTATGAATTTATATGATCTCATTTGCTCATCCCCAACGATGGTTGGGTATAGGTGTTTGATGTTATAAAAGTGTATTTTTTTGCATAAATGAAATTGAATTAATTTGTATATGAATTAGCTGCTTTTTTTGTCTATACTTCAAATAGTTTCCTTATGAGGTCAGGCTTGATTTTGACATTATTGCGATTAAACTTTAACTCGTGTCAACCTAATACTTCAATCAAACTAATGCGATCAAACTCACAACCATAACTGATGTAATCACATTGACATACTGTAACAATAATCACAGTTGTTTTGCATATAGCAAATTTAGTGGCAATAAACATGTATGTAAACACCTTCGTCATAATATTACTGCTCTGATCAAATGTGAATGTGCTTCAACATGATTGTCCCTCCTCTCCAAATCATTAAACTGTAAACACAATCCAATACACAGTTTGAGTTGTGTAAATTCATCTAGACACGCTGCAAAGAAACTGATGTAGTGAAGTTAACACAACACCTATGGAAATGTGTTTAGCATTTAAAGCAAGTATATAAAAAAGTGAGGAGTAAATGCTGGTTGTGTAAATACAACCAACTCAGTAAAAAATGTTTCTACACAATCCATTTGTCGAGACAACATGAAGGAATTAATTTAACAGATTTAACTATTATAAATTTAAGTGAACTGAACATGAAACAATTAAGTTGTTGGTGGCATCGTGGGTATCGCTGTCGCCTCACAGCAAGAAGGTCTAAAGGCATACGCTAGGTGAATTGGATAAACTAAATTGTCTGTAGTGTATGTGTGTAAATGAGAGGGCATGTATGTTACCCAGTAATGGGTTGCAGCTGGAAAGGAATCTGCTGTGTAAAACATATGCTGGATGAGTTGTCAGTTCATTTAGCTATTTCAAACCAAATAATCAGAACAAAGCAAACAGTAACATTTTTGGTGCACACGTAAAAATTGTTTGTCATTTCTATCAATGATGTAATTCCATCTGACTTGGATGTGAAGTGGATATGCAAATTTACACAGAAAAAAAAAAAAAAAACGTCCCACTTTATATTAAGTGTCCTTAACTACTATGTACTTACATAAAATAAATACAATGTACTTACTGTGTTTATAATGTATTTGAGAACACTTGTGGTGCTTTTGAGTTGGGATAGAGGTTGGGTTATGGACAGGTTTGGTGGCATGGGTAGGCTTCTGGATGGGTTAAGGTGTAAGGGATGGTCAACAGTGTATTTACAAATGTAATTACAAAAGTTAAATACAGATGTAATTATATACGTATTTAATCAAGCTTAAGTACACAGTAAATACATGTATTTACACAATAAGTACATTGTAACAAACTATTTATTCCTATGTAAGTACATGTTAGTTAAGGCCACT